TGAGGTTCTCACACCAATGTGTTCCGAGGAGATGAGTTTGTCTCACCCATGTGATGTGAGAAAATTATCTAATCATCTATTTTATGTGATAAGTTTACTCAGAATGTGTTTATCAAGTTATTTGACTATTTTGATGTGATAAATGAGGTTCGTTATATCAAAATGATATATATTTGTTATTATTACAAATATGAGTTCATAAATATGATTTGGTGAGTATTTACCCTGTAATAGCATCAAAGGGATTTCTCACTAGACCTCAAGGTCTAACCCACATTATGTGTTTAAAAAATGTGCATTACAAGTCGTGCTCAACCAGAACATAAGGGGAAGGAAAAATTGTAAAGTGTTATATATTTGCTTGCATGGGTTATTGGGCTAATATGTTATTCTTTTGTATTTGAATACTTGTTATGTATTCAAGTGTTGTATAGAGATTTTGTGTAAAAAGTGGTTAGCTATTCTGTAATATAGCTTGTGTAAGATATTGAGACAAAATATGTAAATTATATTTCTTGATATATGGAAATATAAGTTTATATGCAAATGTGATATTGGATGTTACAACTTTTCCAACGAATCACCAACTGATATTTCCGTCTATAAGAAGAAATGTAATTTTTAAATAACCTAAATTGCAATTCATAATTTCGAAAGTACAAATAGTAACAAAGCGTTTGAAACTAAAGTAACAATGAGTTCAACTAACGGTCTGTTTGTTAACTCTTAAAACTTATTCAGTCAACTATATATATTACTGTTTAGTGGTTGTTTAATGATATATATAGGATATGACTTATTCAATAATCTTATAAGCAGTTGTACACAAAAAGACAAGTTTTTCCAAACCTGCCTCTCCTAATTAAAAACCATAAAAGCTAGTTTTATATATTCATGAGATAACGAAAAACCAACTAAACAACGCCTAAAATTTGTTCCACGACATTATTCCATTCACTGAGGGGTGCAAGAAGCTTTTTTTCAAAACGTATTCCAAATAAGTTTCCTATAAAAAAAAAGATTATTAAAAAAACAATCATAAACCGTCCATTTTTTTATGATTTGTTATATATCCACACATCATAATGAAGAATTTTCTTGTAGTTATATACTCATGCATTGAACTTGGAGCATATTCATGTAATATGAAAATTTGGTTGGAAGATTATAATAAATATAGATGACCATCACATTAGATGAAACCCACAAGTCCACATCAACAAAATGGAACATCGTGACCGTAGATTTTAGAAACAATTATACTATATAATTTAAGAAACAACTACATGCCATCGATACTACTACTAATATGGTTTGATGAAGCACCCAATTTTTCTCTCAAAAATAAATAATTTATGATATATATTTGAATCTTGGGTTCTCAACAACAACACTATGTCGAAAAATTCTAATACTTCCCACGGATTTTTAATATTAATTAAATATTTATTTTCCTAAAATCATATAATATAATTTGTCGAAACATCCATAAGACATTCGTAGTTAATTTCCGATGAAAATTTCTATAGCTGAAAGTTTAGCTTCTAGTACGTGTTTGGCGATAATGCCATGGTGTTTTTTAAACCAAAGGATTCTATAAATTTCCTTGTATTGTGTTAACTTTCTTTCAATTGATCTTCATTTTAGCATAACAAAACATTGATCAAAAGACTATTATTATTTATAATTTTCATAAAAGTAAACTTGTTATTCAAGATTTCATATAACTTGTAGATAAAACCACGGATGCCATATATATCGTCATGTTTTCACATCAACATGAATATGATTATCATGGAGGATATTTTGTTGATATTAAGAGATGCACACAAATTTGATCAGCAGAAGTTTAACAAGGATTGAACCCAATATGATTCATTAAATATTGTTTTAGTTTGAATAGGAATTTTTCTATATTTTGTCTTTTATTTTAGGTTGTTTAATAAACGTAATACATATTACAAGTTTAAAGTATAACAAAAAGTAAAAAATATGTTACAATTTAAGAAGTGCTTAGCAAATAAATTTGGCTTTTAGAATATTTGTTGTAATAAACAAAAAGTTGTTTTGAAAAGCAACCCATTATAAAAAAAGTTATCATAAAACATTTATTATTGCAATAATCAGTTTTGTATTTTAAAATTGTCACAAAAGGTTGGGTATTGTATATTAAAACATTTATCCTTACTAAACTAATCTCTTAAGTAATAATATCTGACAATTATTCTAAATATAAGTTATTTTTTAATATTAGAAGGATATTCGTACAATAGAGCAAAATACATTTCGATTTTTAATTTTTTTTTCTCAGTTGATATTATAATACGGTTTTATGTGGTTTTGAGAAAACAATAATGTTTTTATTTTTGAATAAAATATAAATATGAATGTATCAAAAAAATTGAAAAAAAAAATATTGATATCAGTCCGAAACTTACTATGTAAAATTCTCTTTTTTGTGTATTTCTTTAATTCATTTTTCTGGTTTAATAATATAATTTTTTAGAAAGATAATAATCAAATATTTTTTTTAGAACTCAATGATTATCCTAATTATGTTTTAGATTTTTTATATTTAAAATGAGATATTTATCCTTTATTTGATTATGTTTATCTTCAGTTAATTACACGAATCCAAACATGAAGCTTTAATAAGTTGTACTTATGCACAATTTAACTGTAATATTGAATTTTAAGTAATATGCATCAATAAACAGTACTTCATGCAAAAAAAATGATTTTTTAAAAGTTTTTGTGAAATAATTTATAATATAGTATAGATAACAAACTTTAAAATATAACCATTATATTTTTTGATGCTACAAATATTTTAAAGAGGGTCTATAACCGACTTTTTATGTAAATGTAATTAATTTGTTGTTAAAAAATATTTCAAGTTTTTAAACATTCAATTCAATTCCTTGTTATGAAATAAACCAATTAGCAGGGTCGGTCCTAAGATTTTTGATGTCGGTCCTAAGATTTTTGATGTCCTGTGCGAAAATAATAAAAAACTCCCCTAAGCCTATTTTTTTTTAAGCCAATGAAACAACAAAACATGTATTTTTTTAAAGAGTTTAGGACCTATTCAAGATAAGTATCTCATCCTTATGTTGATTTTTATTAATTATAGTAAAAATATACAATGAGGAGACATAAAAACCAAAACCCCAAATACAAAATATAAAACGATAAAAGGATAAATAATGGATTGAGAACGTGGTTCCTTCTTTTTCAGTTTTTCTTTTTCCAAATTGAAATTAGCAAAATAGAAACTTTATTTCAATATATGGGACCTAAAAGACAATGAACACTATAATTAGTTTTTAACTAAAATAGTAAATTGCATCCAAATTAGTGTCATAGTAAGCAAAAAGTAAAACTTAAAAGTTACATGTATAACGATTAAAGGCTAAGGGTTTATTTGTTAGCAGCTTAATAAGTTTAATGAAACTAACAGATTATTCGGTCAACTATGCATGATCGTTTCTAGTGGCTTAATGATATAGAAAGTAATTTATTCAGTAAACTTCTGGGGAGAACTTTATTTAGAAAGCCAAGTTTTTTTACAAACATGTCCCTTCCAACTAAAAAAATGCTCCATACATATGCGAAAAAATTCTCTTAAATAAAAACTTTTCAAACTTATACAAACAAGATAATTCATACAAACAACTTTATTCATTCAAACAAGTTTATACAATAAAAAACTTTTTCAACTTTCCAACTTTTCCAACTATGTACATTCAGTATTCATCATTACTAGGCTTGACCCTATTTTTATAATTAAAGTTCAGTTGTACAATTCCCAAATTATTAAACTTTAAATTAGTAATAAATGACAACTTGATGCCCTTTTGACTTTGATATCCTATGCGGTCGCACGGGCTGCATGTGGTAGGGCTGGCCCTGCCAATTAGTAATATTTTATAATAATAAAAATAACTTTTTTTTTTATTTAAAATATTATTATTAATACATTCAAAATTAATATTTCAGATCTATGCTTTCATAAAACATATTACTAGATTATGGTATAGGTAAAACCGGTCAATTTAGGGTAATAAAGTGTAATTTTGGAAATTATAAACCTAAAAATTGATTTTGATATGTTTTCCATATCAAAATTACATAGAAACAAATATATTCATTTTGTACGCCATTTCTTCTTTAACTTATAAATAAAAAATATTAAACTCAAGTTATAAAAGACTTAATTAAGATTAAAGTTTGAATCAAGTAGAACTAGTTCTATTCATGTTTTTGAAAACGTAACAAAAACTTACAATAAAAATTAGATAAATTACAATATTTTTTTTTTGTATTATGAATTATCAGTTTATTAAACATGTTTCACCGAAATTAAATTGAAGGACGAATTTTATACTGGTTTTGAAAATTGATACACAAAAGGTTTTGAAAGATAATTCATGCACGAAGTTTGTGACTTTTACTATAACTTTTTACTCTATACTACGGTAAATCCAATTCAAATTTGAAGAAAACTACCACACCAAAAGTTAAAGTCCATGGGAATGATTCAATATGGAAAAAGGTAAAAGCAACCCAGAATTCAGGATGCCATTGCCATTACTTTATATATATATATATATATATATATATATATTCAATCAATCAATCATCATTTCAATGTCTATGGAGAACCAAGTCCTTCGCGTTAAGATATGCCCACTTGTTAGTGAAAGTGGCCTAAAGCTTTGTGGGGACTATCATTCATCAACCTTAAAGTAACCATCTTCTTTTATCATATTAAAACAATGGTGTCCGATTTACATGTATAATAATGAACATGCTCCAATTTTTTATCCATCAAGGAAAATATAAATTAAATTTTTAAATTTTTTAAATTCAATCAAATGGTTATTCTCTTAGGTTATTATTTAGTTACTAATTAAATTCAACCTTTAACTATTCAAGCAATTGTGATTTTTATGATGTTTTAAAAAGGAACGGAAAATGATCCAACAAAATCACAGGATACTAAGTAACAGAATTTGATGATTACATGTTATTACTTGTTTTTCCCTTTCTTGTATGTACAAAAAATTTCAGAAAAGAAATGAACAAGAACAACACAGGAATTGAGCTTCATATATACGAATACGATATGAAAAATGAATTTGAATTTTTCAAAAAAGGGTTTAATCCAAGAAAATCGACATCATTAATTGATGGCATCGCTTGTAGCCTCAGAAATGCTCTCTAAATGAGGTCTCCACACGCGCACACGACCTCTCCTCCGATCCTTCACCTTCTCCGATAAAATCTCAGTCAAGTAGCGATCAGATACAAGAAGGTTCGTCAATAAACTGTTATGATGATCATTCTTGTTTGCAACGTTCTTTTTCTTTCTTGTAGTTGCGGAGGCCTTGGAACGAGCCTTTTCTGGCATGGAAGAAGGAGGAACCGGCATGAGGAAGTAAATCTGGCCACGCTTAAGCTCGGCATCTGGCGGCATGATGATGATCTTCGGACAGCTGACGGTGCCTTCATCCGTGTAGGACGGAGAAGAGGGTTTCTTGAGTACGTGTTTAGGGTATAGTTTCATGATCTCGGCTGCGCGGATGCTGCCACTGATTTCCTCCACGTGTCCATTCGAGTGAACGATCCGAATTACATCAAGTGCACCACAGGGAAGAATGCATGAGATACAACATCTTATGGTGTTCTTCATCTCTTTGATATGATCCTCCTTGAATTATACTTCTTTCATGGAGCTAGATAGAGAAAGAATTGAAGGAAGGAGAAGGAGAGGCTATTTTGGGGTGGGCAATGGGCATGTAGATATAATTGTTTTTGTTACCAGAATGATGATAATATTATATATATATATATATATATATATATATATATATATATATCTATATAGTAGTGGTTTTTTTAAAGTGGCCCCTCTAAATTATTTTCTCTTTTCATCCTTCTTTTATGATATAAATTTAAAGTTGGTTTCTGATTAATAATACCAAATTCATCTGGTTAAATAACCTAAATACAAAACGGGTGTAATTCGGCACTTGATGTCAACACCATACGTCTCTTTCTCTCTCTCTCTCTCTCTCTCTCTATATATATATATATTCAACATGACGTGTATATATATATACATATTTTCTTGTTGCAAATAACACTGAGTAAAGAATTAGTAGCTATTTGAATTAAATAATGACAGTTTCAAGATTTCTTGCCAAGGGAAACATGTGTATTTTATTTATTGCTTATAAAATGATATATATATATATATATATATATATGGTCATGATCAAATGCTAACCATCATTTTTGTGTTAATATTATTAATTGATCTTGGCCATCCAAATCTATAATCAACGGTTAAGATTAATAAATAAAAAAAATTAAATTTTAAAGTTTGAATTTTAATGAGGCCTAGTGAACAATGATGAAAGGGGCATTTTGGGAAGAAAAAATACACTTACACTACCTCAAAATGCCTCTTACGCAACAAATGAAAAATGTTGCCTAAGAGGGGTTTATATGTTGCATAAGGCTTAGGCAACAAACCCGTGTTGCCTAAGCAGTGTTGCCTTCTCAATGTTGCATAAGAACCAAGACAACATATGCAAACAGAATATGTTGCCTAAGCGGGCTTCTTAGGCAACACACAAAAGGTTATGTTGTCTAAGTAAAAAGCATACGTTGCATCATATATCAACTTAGACAACATACTCTTTCTTCATATGTTGCGTTAGATATCCGCTTAGACAACATTCTTTATCTGAATATGTTGCCTTAGATATCAACTTAGTCAACATACTCTATTTAGATATGTTGCCTTTGAACTGTAATTAACATAATACAAAAATTCTCTTAGGCAACATTTATATTGTTCTTGCACACTTTCTACAAAATGAATCTCAAACAAGCAAACAAACAACCAAATGTTTTATACAAACAATTTTTATAACCAAACAAAATTAATAAGTTCAAACATTGAAAGATAATTTTTTTCCTAAATAAGTCTAAGAGTAGGCAACAAGTTCAAAAACACAAAATTAAAAACTTAACCTAAAGCGTGAGAGTTTGAATCACTAGCACCCAACATAGTCATTAACGATTGTWTCATCTTTCTTTGCTCGGCGGCTTCCTTTTTTGCCTCTTCTTGTCCCTCTTTTAACAAGCGAATCTCCTCGTCACGCTCTATCAAATCACCCTTTAGGCATGACGTAGTCCGCCCCAACACCGACGCCTTCGCTACGCTTGAGTTCTTTTTGGAGGCATATGGATCTAAAAAAAAAACCGAAACTCAGAAACAGATTAATGAGCATAGTAATATAAGTAGCTACACATAGAAAACAGAAAACAATGTATATCAAAGCATATACCAAAGAAAACAATATAAGTAGCTATACAGTGTGTGTGTGTGTGTGTGTGTGTTTTTGCTGCTTAACCACCATGTACAACAAAAGTACAGCTGCTGGTTTGAGTAGCAGCTTCCCCCATTTGTTAGTGAAACTGGCTTACCTTRGGGGAGTGGGAGAGGACTGTTGACYGCAAACAACCTACTGCAGCAAGGGCAACCTCTTTACTGCCATTCGCAATGCTGTTCTTAACGAAAAAAAGCAAAGACTCCCATCCTGCAGAACACAAATTCAACATAACCGTTATTCTAGTTTCTTAAAAGAAAGCATACATAGTTTGTAAATGATCCAATAAAAGGACTTACCAGACCAAAAATTGGTTATACATCTTAATAGTGGAAAGAAAGTACGCAGGATACGAGCAATTCCACTAAATACAAGCACAAGTGTTTCATCCCATTGTTTTTTAGCTGTGTTACGACTGGATATTTAAAACACCATAAAAATCTGTTTAATAATTGAAATGAAAAGCCTAACTAAACATGCAATCAATTAAAATTCAAGATATTAAAAACCCAATAATTTTCCACTTCAAGTAATGATGCAAAAACACTATCATCGATTTCTAACGGTGCAAAATGGTAAATCTAGCCAACTTGACTATGGTTATCAACAAGCTCTAACAACCTCAATTTTCCCTTAACTAAACATCAACCGAAATAAGCTCTTCAGTTAAATCTTAACCGTAAATGAGAATTAGAATAAGCTCTCAAATTCCCAAATATATTTGGCTTTATTACCGGATGAGGAAAATACTGATTCAAAGCAATAAGCTAATTAGCTCGGATTACTAGAGCTTTGATTGCGAGCTTTCAAGAATCCAATTCAAAACCTTATTGAAATCAAATGGGTTCAATTGCTACTTTATCAAAATGTGTAAGATGTGTGTAAGTAGCTATACAATGTATGTGTGTGTGTGTCTACAAAACATGCGCTTGTGTGTGTGTAAGATGAAATGGAAAGAAAATGAAGTCCCAAACATGAAATGGAAACAAAATGTAGTCCTGGGGGGTTGTTTACACCATCACAGTGTCCGCTTCACAGCTGCTGGTTTTGCAGCTTGTCAAACAGAACTTGGTTTTAAACAGAACTACAGCCCCTTATCAAAGGTACTGCCCACTTAAACAAGCCAAAGGTAATACCCCTTTTTTTTTATCTTTTCTATCAAAGCTTCTTTAAATGAATGTAGAATGCAGTCCCAAACATTTATACACTCTTACATATCTTTACATATATACACTCTACTGCCCACTTAAACAAGCCGAAGGCATCGCTGCTGTAAATTTTAGCATAACAAAACATGTACAGCTGCTGGAAATAAAATGGATAACACAGAATCTTGGGCGATGAGTTATATGACTAAACCAAACAGAAGAAATCGATGGATAGAGCCGAGAATAAGCAAACAATAACAAAACAATAAAGAACCAAACAAACCAAACAGATCCAACATTCTATCTAGAAGAAATCGATGAATAAGCAAACAAATACCTGGTTCTTATGACTCGATGGATAGAAGAATCGATAGAGAGAGCCGAGAGGTCTGTGAGAAATCGAGAGAGCCGAGAGGAATCGATGGAGAGAAGAATCGATGGAGAGAGCCGAGAAAGCCGAGAGGAATCGATGGAGAGAGCCGAGAGGAATCGATGTCGATGGAAAGAGCCGAGAGTTCAAGCAGAAATCGAGTTTGAGAAGAAATCAGGTAAGGGTTTTTTGTGGGTGTGGGTGTGGCTGTGGGTGTGGGTGTGGGTGGGKGGGGGGGTCTTAAGGGTTTTGGGGAAAAATTAGAGGGAAATTAAAATTTTAGGGGGAAAAGGTTTTGGGGGAAAAGGGKTTTTTWWWAAAAATCTGATTTAATTTTTTTTTTGTGTATTTCTTTGATTTTGGTGGGTTTTTGGGAAAAAAAAAGAGGGAAATTAAATTTTAGGGGGAAAAGGTTTTGGGGGAAAAAGGGTTTTTTTTTTTTTTAAATCTGATTTAATTTTTTTTTTTTTTGTGTATTTCTTTGATTTTGGTGGGGTTTTGGGAAAAAAAAAGAGGGAAATTAAAATTTTAGGGGGAAAAGGTTTTGAATAAAAAGAGGGAGATTATATTTGGTAATGTATATATACAACTAAAATCCAAAATTTTAATTTTTAATTTTTATTATTATTATTATGAAATTTTAAATTATATTATTATCACCACTAAAATTATTATTATTATTATTATTATATATTTCATGAATGAAAATATTTTTTTTAAAATGATTAATATTATTGTTACTAATGGACCATCAAAACGCAATATGATCCATTAAGACACACAATACGGTTCATTAAAGCAAATACTGTTTGTTAAAGCCCGCCCAATACAGTCCATTAAAACAAATACGGTCCATTAAAGACCCAATATGGTTCATTAATGTCCTATACGATCTATTATGGCCCAATACGGTCCATTAAAACAAATACGGTCCATTAATGTCCAACACGATCCATTAAGGTCCAATACGGTCCATTAAAGTAAATACGGTTCGTTAAAGCCCATTACGGTTCATTAATGCCCAATACGGTCCATTAAAGGCCTAATACGATCCATTAATGTCCAATACGATCCATTATGGCTCAATACGGTCAATTAATGTCCAATACGATCCCTTATGGCCAAATACTGTCTATTAAAGCAAATACGGTTCATTAAGGCCCAATACAGGTCCATTAATGTCCTATACGATCTATTATGGCCCAATACAGTCCATTAAAACAAATACGGTCCATTAATGTCCAATACAATCGATTAAGGCCCAATACGGTTCATTAAGGCCTAATACGGTCCATTAATGTCCTATACGATCTATTATGGCCCAATACGGTCCATTAAAACAAATACGGTCCATTAAAACAAATACGGTCCATTAATGTCCAATACAATCGATTAAGGCCCAATACGGTTCATTAGGGCCCAATCTGATCCATTAATGTCCAATACGATCCATTAAAGCAAATACGGTCCATTAATGTCCAATACGATCCATTAAAGTCCAATACGGTCCATTAATGTCCAATACGATTCATTAAAGTCCAATACGGTCCATTAATGTCCAATACGATCCATTAAAATCCAATACGGTCCATTAATGTCCAATACAGTCCGTTAAAGCCCAATACGGTTCATTAAGACCCAATACGATCAATTAATGTCCAATACGATCAATTATGGCCCAATACGCTCCATTAATGTCCAATCGGCCTATCAAAACCCAATACGGTCCATTAAGGCCCAATATTTTCCATTAAAGCAAATACGGTCCGTTAAAGCCCAATATGTTTCACTAAAGCCCAATACATTCCATTAAAACCCAATACGGTTAATGAAAGACCAATACGATCCATTAAATATCAATACGATCTATTAAAGCTCAATACGTTACACTAAAGC